CCCCAAAACCCCAAAACCCCAAAACCCCAAAACCCCGTTTTAAGCGGTCGATGTTGAATTCATCAGGATTGGTGATTCTAAATTGCTCAAGTTATTTTATGGCATCACTTTTAGCATTGTCGTCTGCATGTTGGTGCTGGCCTTCTTTTTTGCCTAGAATTACTAAACCTGCACCCAGAATTGCAATGAAGATTCCTACAAGTTGGAGGAGGTTGGGAAATAGGAATAGGAAAATTGCTTCCTCTACCAGCTGAGCGATTGGTTTCATGTTGACGAACAGTTGTCCTACTTCCACACTTCCGATATTGACGGCTGCGAAGTAAGTGAATTGTCCGATGGTAGTAAAGAGGCCGGAGAAGACTGCAAATAATATGTACACTACCATCTTATCTTCAGGCATGAAGTTCATTGGTGTATGATAGTAAAGGATTGGAATTCCAAATAGTCAGCCTACGAATCCTGACAAACCCATGGCTCAGGAAGAATATTCGATTATGTTCACATCATAATGAAATCAAGCATATTTGGTTGAGATAATCATCATACTCCAAAAGAATCAAGTCACCAGTGTGAAAAAGATAGAGATGTAATGCAGATTGTTTTGATATTCGTTATATGTCCCAGGCTTACTTATAGACCTCTCAAATGTAATCAACAAAATGGCTCCAATGATCATTAATCCCCCAAAATATTGCATGGGAGAATGCCTCTCGCCGAATATACAGAGCCCGGCAACAAGAGCAATCAGGATGTTAAGCATTAGGATTGAGTTTATGGCAGAGGAGCTAGAACCTGAGTCTCGGGCAAACTTGATTGCAAAAATAATACTTACATTCCCTAAAGCATTGCAACCTCCTGAAATAAAAGCATATAAAATAGTTTTACGACTCTTTACAAAGCTGCACTCTTTTGTGAGATAATGTGATAATGAAAACATGTGTCTTTTAAAGAGCAGGTAGTACATGAAGAACAAGATAATAGCACTGATCAACACAGCTATGTGTTCAATGAAAAATATCCATATTTTAGTAAAATGAGCCATTTCTAGGAGGAAAAGTTTCGATCCAAACAAGAAGCATGCAATAACGGCCAAGAAATAGAACTTTACCATGTTGCTAACTCCTTTCTTTTTAGGAAGGAGAGCTGTTTCCTGACTATCAGGATTCATCTTTATCTCTTCATCAGTCGACTTCATATTTATAAATTATAATTCAACGGTTTGAATAAATAAGGGGTTTTGGGGTTTTGGGGTTTTGGGGTTTTGGGGTTTTGGGG